TCCATGCTTTATTCAAGTTTCAACAAGGAGTAAAAGCAAAATTGTCCAAATTGTGTAACAGCATAATTTTCCATCCCCCAAAAATGTTAAATATCTAAAACTAATTAAGCCTTTTTTCCGGGTTTTTAGATAAGAAGTTTAGCCATCTTGACACCATTTTTCGTAAGACCCTTTGAGTTATTCAGCTAGAGAGAGAACAGGTTAAAATCGTTTTCGGTCAGCCCCGTTATGTCTTCTCAACTGAGCAATGGTGAGAGGAAATAAGATCATTTAGGCCTTCAGGAAAGGTAACAAAATTCCTACTCTGGCATCCATCTTCAAAGTCCATTCAAGAACCAACAAGTTGAATAATAAAAAAAAAAAAGGCAAAGGTAGAGAGGAAAACTGAATCAGGAGATCAAAACATCAACTTCGAGCTAAAAAGATCAATTAGAAAAGATCCAACTCAATCCATAAGACGTCTAACACGTGAGAGAGAGTTTCATCTATGACAGTCCAAAGCTCAGTGGAAAAAGACTTGAAAATGAAATCGTACGTAAAAGGTGTGAGGCACCTTGTTACTCCAGGACAGAAAGTTAGAAGGTTAGAGAGGGCGAATATCATCTTGAATTAGTTGGAAAATGATCCTATAATGATATATACATATTTGAACTTAATTTCAATCCTTCATGAGCTTCCGATCCTTAGCTATGATTAATTAAAGATGAACATGCTATTTTTTATTGCTCAAAGTAGAGTCGAATAGTGTTATAAAAACTTCAGAGAATTACATTACGATAGCTTTATTCATTTCTAAGATACAACGGTTCAAATCTTAATCTAGCAAATGGACAATTTTGCTTTTACATTTTGGTTATCAATAACGTTTTATTGAATATATATATATATATATATATATATAATATATATATATATATATATATATATATATATATATATATATATTATTTATTTATGTATATATATATATATATATATTATATATTTATGTATATATATATATATATATATATTATATATTTATGTATATATATTTACATATATATATATAATTATTTATTTAAAATATGATTCCATCTCTACATAAGAATTCTCATGTTTCAAAAAATATTTACCGAAAAAAATTCAATATAATTATTTGAATTAAATTGAATTAAAGTACCAAGCTTAATTATATTTATGCTCTACTTTTGTATCGAGCACTATTTTTAAAAAATAATAAGTAAAATACTAAAGAACATTGGATTATTTACCTAACGAGTTCTTTCCTATTTTCTATATATTTTTACACACACACACACACACACACACAAACACACACACACACACACATATATATATATATAATTATTTATTTAAAAATATGATTCCAACTCGCGACATAAGAGGTCTCAAGTTTCAAAACAAGAGCCGAAAACTTCAATATAATTATTTGAATTAAATTGAGTTAAAGTAAGCTCTGTTCCATCTTCAAGCGAAATTTTTTTTGGAATAACGTATTTCTGAAATTTACGTGTTTTAATAATTGAAATCAAAATTTCCATGGTAACAGCTAGGGCGAATTGTTTAAATTGGGTAGGCGTGTGTTGGGTGTTAATATCAAGTATCAATATAGAGTTACTTTCATGGATGTCAAGTCAGGGAAAGGTGGGGGTGTCTAAATTTGAAACGGAAAATGTATTAACCCTAGTCTGGCATGCGTGTCTATGGAGATTTTTTTATTTTTTTATTTTATTTTTTTTATGAAAGGGATGTGAGCATATAAAAAACTGCCGTAACGTTTGTTTTTTGACGACTCGCATAAAGGGTTATCGTATTGTAGGGTATTTAAACTATTCATTTGGGCTATGGATTATGAAAGTTATTATATTGTATGCTCGTTCTTAGCTAATTAATCAGACCATTGTATCGAGCGCTATGTTTTAAAAATAATAACTAAAATACTAAGGAACTTTGGATTATTTACCTAACCAGTTCCTTCCTGTTTTCTATATATTTTATATAACACACACACACACACACACACATACATATATATATATATATATATATATATATATATATATATATATATATATATATATATATATCAGAAGATTTTTTACGTTCAACTAGCAATTCACTAACATATATACGGCCCATTTGTTTTCCTGTTCAAAGTTATACCTTAAAGCAGCTAACATAATTAAGCTAGTGCAATCAATTTCAACAAATTATTGATTATTTTTCCTTGGCATAAGATCGATTATTCTCAATGTTTTGTTTTGAGCGCTATGTATCTTAATTGGTCTGCTCAAGCGCTGAACGTCATTTATCGAAATCAAATCTAAAGCGGAAATCTTTGAAAAAAATATTTCTGACCCTTTCGATTATTCAAATTCTTCTTCATGATTCTCCACAACGTCCTGTCACTTGTAGCTCTTAATAAATGTTCTCTTACTGTTATTTTTCCAAAACCCTGTTCTATTTACTCAAGCTTACCAAGTATGTTGTCCATTGTTTTCCTCTTTTCCCTCTGTATTTCCTGTGAGTATCACATTTTCCGAACCCTCCTTTCTCATTATATGACCCAGAAACCTCATAAACTCCATAAACTGTACAGATATATATATATATATATATATATATATATATATATATATATATATATATATATATATATATATATTTTGAATATCAGTCGCCTAGGATTACCGGAACTTTTTTTTATTCAGAGTTAAAATAAAAGAGACCAATTTTGACAAATTTCAAATTTTATATTGATATGCCACTGATATTACAATAATAACTATCGTAATTTCTTTCTTTAGAATTTAAGACAAAATCAGAACGCATTTATGGTGTGACCAAATATTTTCATTCCTAATGTGACATTAACACATAAATATTTTGTCTATGTTTCTGAAATGTGGTATTGTAACTATTAACATCATTCGAATTGTTCTCCTCATCTTTATTTCCATATTCACGCCGTTTCGGCCGTTGTACGCACCGGTCTACTTCAGGATCTGTCTATATTTCGGAGATGATATATTGTAAGAATTTACACTATTTCTATCGTTCGGACTTTTGTCCTCATCTTTATTGTCATCTTCACGCCGTTTCGACCGTTGTACGCACCGGCCTACTTCAGGATCTGTCTATATTTCGGAGATGAGATATTGTAACTATTTATACAGTTGTCATCATCTTTATTGCTATCTTCATGTAAATATACGGCCCTGTGGATAAAAACGTTGGTTGAGTAATAGACAAAAAAAAAAAAAACTGAAATTCCTTGATCAAAAGAGTTGTGAGTTCAATACTCAGCCACAACAGAGGGAACAAAAACTTGCAGAGTTTAGTTACTCGTAGACGAAAAAGAGGGTTCGTTTCAAAATTTCAACTTATACCTCTTGATGAAGGTCGGAGGCTATAACAGCCGAAACGACGTGAATATAGTAATGAAGACAGGGACAATAGTCCGAACGATGAAATCAATATTATTTCTCCCGTATATACTCGTGTATAGTGCTTATATTAACATTCATGCAAAGATTTCAGGGGTTGCACTGTACACGAACATATATGGTAAATCTTATCTCTTCCCGTTCTGTCCTTCATCGCTTAACCGATAGAATTAACAGACACGTTTCAGTGAACAAGGCAAACTTTCAATTTGGACGACATCGGCTGTCGTTTGACTCGGAGAGGAATAGACTCCGCCAGATCTTAATGCCCATGACTTTTCATGCTTTCTATCCAGGTATGTGAGAGGAACTACTGAGATTACTCTGAATTCAAAACTATAGGGGAGTCAACGGAAAATGCCGACCGTCTCTTTCATCAATTAAAAGAAAAAACACACACACACACACACACACACACACACACACACACACACACACACACACACACACACATATATATATATATATATATATATATATATATATATATACGGGAGGCTCAGTGGAGTAATGGAGAGCGGCTTGGATTGAGGAATCGGAGAGTTGAATTCGAATTCCACTTGAATCCAATACATTCACTTACGTGCTAGTGCCCTTGGGAAAAGTATGAAACCTCTTCTTCTCTCTCCAGCTATGGGTATATAACAGGACAGACTGGGTTCTATAGCCTTGGATGGCAACTGGTCTAAGAGAAGGACAACTTTGAATTCAAAACCTGCGGAGGGTCGTTTGAGAACCTTGTTACACGTAGTGCATGAGCTCCCTATATTCGGGCCTTCAAAAAGTGCGATCGCTTCTGCACAAAGCCTTACCCCATTAATCAAATCTTATGTGCTGGTGTCCTGGCTGTTGGTTTCTAAGAACTGAAGTGCTTGAACCTCATACGTCGAATTTATTTATTGATAAAAAATAAATATATATATATATATATATATATATATATATATATATATATATATATATATATATATAAAAATATATATAATCTTAATATTAAATTTTTTTCTTTTGGAATTAAAAATTTTTCTAATGATCCGCAGTCCTTAAATGGGCTGTGATGAAATAATTTATTACATGGAACCTTAAAGTAGTCTGTTTTTTATTTATATATATATATATATATATATATATATATATATATATATATATATATATATATTAAAAACTGAAATGCAGTGTCTCTCGTTATCGTCTGTTAATGTTCTTTTAATATTCTCTCTTCTTAATAATGTTTAGCTTTCGTCAAATATTTTTTTTACACTCAGCAAATCCTTGTGTCTTAGTTGCTTTATTGCCTTGCTTAGGAAGAAATGATAAGAAATCAATTTTCGATTATATTGCTGTTTCTTTTGTTTCGTGTTAAGTTTCTTTGAGTATTTGCATCAACAGAGTTATATGTATGGGAATATTATAGTTCAGTCATGGAAAAATCTACAGAGATCCCAAAGAAAAACAATTGTTGGCATTAAAAAAATCATAGAGGTGTCGATATGCCGTAAAAGAAAACAAACCAAACCAATCAATAGGAATATTCGGTAAAGTTAAGGCATTATGACAGTTTTCTTTCTTTCTTTTTCTTTCTTGTCTTTTCTTTTCTTTCTTTCTTTCTTTTCTATTCCTTCTTTTTCTTTCTTTCTTTCTTTCTTTCTATTCTTTCTTTTTCTTTCTGTCTTTCTTTCTGATCTTTTCTTTTCTTTCTTTCTTTTCTATTCTTTCTTTTTCTTGTCTTTTCTTTTTCTTTCTTTTTCTTTCTTGCCTTTTCTTTCTTTCTTTTCTATTCTTTCTTTTTCTTTCTTTCTTTTCTATTCTTTCTTTTTCTTTCTTTCTTTCTTTCTTGTCTTTTCTTTTTCTTTCTTTCTTTTCTATTTTTTTTCTTTCTTGTCTTTTCTTTCTTTTTTTTAGAAATATTTTTTTTTTCTTTCTTTCTTTTCTATTCTTTTTTTTTTTTTTCTTTCTTTTCTTTCTTTTTTCTTTCTTTCAAAATTTTTTTTTCTTTTTAATTTTTTTCTTGAAATTCTTTCTTTTTTTTTTTCTTTCTTTCTTTCTTTTACAATAATTTTTTCTTTTTTTTTTTTACCTTTTTTTTTATTTGTTTCATTTTTTTCTGTTTTCAATTTTTTTCTTTTTTTTTTTCTTTTCTTTTCTTTCTTTTAAAAATAATTTTTTTTTTTTTTCTCTTTTTTTATTCTTTTTATTTGAATTTTTTTTCTAAAATATTTCTTTTTTTTTTTTTTCATTTTTTTTTTCTTTTTTTTTTCCTTCCTTCTTTCTTTTGTTTCAGTTATTTAAATTCTCTTTTTTCATTCTTTTTTTCACTTTTTCATCAAAATTCTTTTTCTTTTTTTTTTTTTTTCTTTTTAAATCCTTTATTTTAATTTTAAGAATTTTTTTGAGTTTTTTTTTTTTGATAATATCATTCTTTTTATTTTTTCTTTCTTTTTTTTTAAATTATTATTTTTTATTTCCTTCTTTATTTCTTTTTTTTTTTTTCATTTTATTTAAATTTTTTTTTTCTTTCGTTATTTTTAATTTCCTTCCCTTTCATTATTTGGCTTTTTTTCTTCATTTTCTTTTCATTAATTTTATTAAATTATTTCTTTTTTTTTTCTTTTTTTAAATTTTAGTTTTTTTTAAATTTTTGATTCTTTCTTTCCTTTCATTTTTTTTATTTATTCTTCAAAAAAATTTTTTTTTTTTATTTTTTTTTATTATTCAATAAAATTTTCATCATCTTTTTATTTTATTAATTTTCTTTTTATTTCTTTATTTTTTTTTATTATATTTTTCTTTGTTTTCATTATTTTTATTATATTCTTCATTTTTTCTTTTCATTAATTTTATTATATTATTTCTTTATTTTAATCATTTTATTTATATCAAATTTTTTTATTATATTCTTTTCATTTTTTTTTATTTTATTTTTCTTTTTTCTTTTCATTATTTTTTTTATATTTTCTGAGAATTTTTCATTTTTTTTTTTTAATTTTTTTTTTTTTTTTTTTTTATATTTATTTTATTTTTTTTTCATTAATTTTATTATATTAATTTTTTAATATTTTTTTATTTCTTTCTTTCTTTTTCATTTTTTTTTTTTATTTTTTTCTTTCTTTTCATTATTTTTATTATATTTTTCATTTTTTTTTTTTCATTAATTTTATTATATTATTTTTTTATTTTAATCATTTTTATTATATTCTTTCTTTCTTTTCATTATTTTATTATATTCTTTTTTTCTTTTCATTAATTTTATTATATTATTTCTTTTTTTAATCATTTTTATTATATTCTTTTTTCTTTTCATTATTTTATTATTATATTCTTTTTTTTCTTTTCATTTTTTTATTATTTCTTTCTTTCTTTCATTATTTTTACTCTATTCTTTCCTTCTTTCCGTTATTTTTATTATATTTTTTTTTTTGTTTTCATTATTTTTATTATATTCTTCATCCCTTTCTTTTCATTAATTTTATTATATTATTTCTTTATTTTAATCATTTTTATTATATCCTTTCTTTCTTTTCATTATTTTTAGTATATTCTTTCTTTCCTTTCATTATTTTTATTATATTCTTTCTTTTTTTCATTATTTTTTTTAGATTTTTTTCTTTCTTTTCATTATTTTTATTATATTCCTCATTTTTTTCTTTTCATTAATTTTATTATATTATTTCTTTATTGTAATCATTTTTATTATATTCTATCATTTTTTTTTCATTATTTTTATTATATTCTATAAATTTTTCTCATTATTTTTTATTATATCCTTTCTTTCTTTTCATTATTTTAGTATATTCTTCATCCCTTTCTTTTCATTAATTTTATTTTATTATATTATTTTTATTTTAATCATTTTTATTATATTCTTTCTTTCTTTTCATTATTTTATTATATTCTTTTTTTCTTTTCATTATTTTATTATATTCTTTCTTTCTTGTCATTATTTTTACTCTATTCTTTCCTTCTTTCCGTTATTTTTATTATATTTTTTCTTTGTTTTCATTATTTTTATTATATTCTTCATCCCTTTCTTTTCATTAATTTTATTATATTATTTCTTTATTTTAATCATTTTTATTATATCCTTTCTTTCTTTTCATTATTTTTAGTATATTATTTTCTTTTCCTTTCATTATTTTTATTATATTTTTTTCTCTTTTTTCATTATTTTTTTAGATTTTTTCTTTCTTTTCATTATTTTTATTATATTCCTCATCATTTTTCTTTTCATTAATTTTATTATATTATTTCTTTATTGTAATCATTTTTATTATATTCTATCATTCTTTTCATTATTTTTATTATATTCTATCTTTTCTCATTATTTTTATTATATCCTTTCTTTCTTTTCATTATTTTAGTATATTCTTCATCCCTTTCTTTTCATTAATTATATTATATTATTTCTTTATTTTAATCATTTTTATTATATTTTTTCTTTCTTTTCATTATTTTATTATATTCTTTTTTCTTTTCATTATTTTTATTGTATTCTTTTTTTCTTTTCTTTATCTTTTATATTCTTTCTTTCCTTCTTTTCATTATTGTTCTTTATTTTTATTCTATTCTATTCTATTCTTTCTTTCTTTCTTTCTTTCTTTCTTTCTTTCTTTCTTTCTTTCTTTCTTTCTAACCGTTACGTATATCTCCACTAGCCTCTATATTTCCTTTCATTTCTTTTCTTTTCTCTGACTCTTTCAAAATTCTAAGGTATCTTCGTTCTATCCCTTTTTTCCCACCTGGCATATCTTTCACCGGCATTTGCTTAGAAACTCGCAATACTTTTTCAAACTTTTTTTTTTATTATTTTTCTGACAATTCTTACTATATTCACTTTGCCCTTTTTTATCCATCGCCATTTATATTGACCCAGGGGTTTTATACGTTCTCATAAACTCCCTCAAGAATCATTCATATCCATTGTAGCAATTCCAAAGATACACAAAACCTGTCCAATTCGATCGAATATTAATCAATCATTGACCATCAATGAGGATCAATATTCTTTAATCAGTTGTTTTTCGTGCCAATGATTTCGAAAAGAAGCTAAAGAAAATGGGATACCAAATATTTTTATTGAGTAAAAGCTGCAAAATCACGAAAAGAATTTCCGATACGCCATTAAATCCGTCGTAAATGGTGCTTCCTATCCAAACTCACTTGCAGAAAATGTTTGCCATTCGTCGGCCTCGTGAGTTACATTGTCTTCAGTCATGAATCACATTTAATGCTTGCCGCTAAATTTAATATTTATTTACCTATTTTTCAGAATTTTCTTGCTGAAATAATTTAGAATAGATTTTATGCAAAAAGTATACTTTTATTCCGACGGATATCCTGATATTACTTGCCTTTTTCATTGAATCTAGCCCCATGGTTATCAAAAAAAATATATATATATATATATATATATATATATATATATATATATATATATATATATCCGATGCAATGAAAACGAAAGTAATATATGAATTGTAACATTCACAGCATTAATCCAAAAGAGGTACTAAAGCGGTAAGTATTTATTATAATTTTATCATAGAGACAAAAACAGTTTACACACTACAAAGATGCTGCTTCGTTTCGGCGCATTTCAACTGCACCTCGACGGGTGAGAACCGAAAATGCTTCATTTTTTTTTTTTTTTCATTTTCGGCTCTCACCAGTTAAAATGCACCGAAACGAAGTTGCATCTTTGTAGTGAATAAACAGTTTTTGTCTATATGATAAAATTATAATATATATACACTAACTATTTTTTTATACCCGGAGTTATATTTTCCCGTTTCCTTTTGAATTTTTAGGGCTGATGAATTAGATCGTAGTTACCATTCCAGTGTAATAAATCATAATCAGGAAACATTAGAATTTTGAGCCTTTTATATTATTATATTCTTAATCTGTCAAAAAAAAAATTTCTGTTGTATATATATATATATATATATATATATATATATATATATATATATATATATATATATTATATATATATATATTATCTAAATATATATATATATATATATATATTGCTCATATAATATTATCTAGGTATATATATATATATATATTTATAAACACACACACACACACACACATATATATATATATATATATATATATATATATATATATATATATATATATATATATATAAACATTGTTAAATATAACAAACGAAGAAAAAATCTTTCATGTTTGATCATGAGCCGTTCTAAACAACCAACATTTTGTTTTAGTTCCGGGTGAAGAAATTGTCCAACATTTGGCTATTTTTTTATTAAGCTGGTCTGTGATCTCAGTTTTCTGCTCACGTGTGTCATCTGCAGAGTGGTTTTACGGATGTTTAAACAGGTATTCACCATAAAAGATGATATTCTGTTATGCTGACATAGTCGATAACGTCGCGGAATAGCTGACGCGGATCATTAATTAATAATGCGATTCTTTTTTGACGTCGTACCACGTGAAAGACCTAAACATCTATAGATTTTTATGTTTAGAAGATATATTGCATTGGTATGCCATTGGTATACCAATGCAATATATCTTCTATTGAAAATCCTGAAAACATAAAAATCTATATAGTTTGCACATGCCATGATTTAAAAAAAAAACGGTTCAACCAACATCAAAGTTCATTTAGGATGAATAAATATAGAAATAAAACATCCCTCTCAAAGTACTTCTGGCACCTAAAAGAATCCAATAAAACACCTACATTAAAGTGGAAGTTAATAAGAAAAGCTATTATATGTAGGCCATTAAATAACCCATGTTATTTATGCATACATGAGAAACTATATATTACTAAGTTTATAAAAAATAAAAATATACTGCATCAGAGAAATGAAATAGCTATTTTTTGCCGTTATTGTCAAAAATTTTCTTTAAATAATATTTAAAAATAAAATTATAATGTGCGACCTGGTAATATACATACTTATATTTGATATGAAAAATAATTTTATATACTGTAAGTAATTCTATTACATTTATTGTTTTAAAAAGAAATATAGTGTATTAAAACTTATGAGTGAAAATATTTTAAAATTTTAGTTAAATAAAACGAATTCTAACCTAAATATCTTTTAAAATTATAGTTAAATAAAACGTATTCTAACCTAAACATCTCTCTCAAAGTACTTCTAGCAGTTAAAAAATCAAATAAAACGCTTAAAGTAAAATGAAATTAATAAGAAAAACTAGAATATGTAGGCAATTAAATGACCCATGTATTTTTTACATACATGAGAAACTATATATTACTAAGTTTATAGAAAATAAAAGTTTACTCTATTTCAGAGAAATGAATTAGCTATTTTTTGCCGTCATTCTCAAAAATTTCCATTATATAATATTTAAAAATAAAATTTAAAAAAAATGTGACCTGGTAATATACATATTTATACTTGACATGAAAAAATAATTTTATATACTCTAAGTAATTCTAGTATATTCACTTTAAATGAAATATAGTCTATTAAAAATTAAAAGTAAAATATTTTAAAATTGTAGTTAAATAAAACGTATTCTAACCTAAAAATCCCCCCCCAAATCTTTAAGTATACAAATAGAAAAAATGCCGTAAGAATTTTTTGCCGTTAACAATAAAATTAAACAAAAAACAGACGACCTGCATTTATATCAGAATAAGTTGAAAAATACATTCCTAACCTACCTAAACCTAACCCCTTTTTCGAACGTAGCTAATAACTGATACAACAAAAGTTAATAAAAATGAACACGCTACCACCCATTGTCTGGATGATTGGATCTCTTTGTATCCTTGGAAAAAGTTGAATTATGAATTTTCTGTGCCTTTAAAACTCAGTAAATTTAAAGTTACTTCAAAATTTGCTGAGGATGGAATGGAAATAATGTTTTTAATTTAATTACAAAATTCAATTTGAAGCTTTTAGCTTCCATTTTTGAAACATGGTCATTACTGTGTAGCGAAAAAAAACATATTTTAAACTAGTTAATTTAAAACACACACACACACACACACACACACATATACATATATATATATATATATATATATATATATATATATAATATTAAGTTCGATGAGTTTCTTATTTCTTTCTGTTAAATTTCAAGATAAATTATCATTATTATTCTAATGTTTTCTTTTATCGTGTTTCTATTTTATCACCGTGTTTCCGTCCGTGTTTTATCTTGCATTTTTCATTATTCTTTTTGAAATACTATACACTTATGTGTATTGGAGGCAAACGATTCTGTAATGACTATCATATACAAACTTTTGCTATCGCCGATAGTAAAAGGATTAATTGAAATTTGTTTTAAGTCGCAAATGAATTTAACATGATTTAAAAGAAGCCAATTATATGTTAAATTTGCCCGTGCATAGTTAAAATGTTTTTACTAGATTCTGATTCAATAAAGCCTTCCTGTAACTCTTGACCTTGTAAAAGTGGACATTACAATCATGAAACATCCAAAGAGGAACGATCTATTCGTCAGGAGGATGTGGACCAGAAAGAGAATATGACCATATTCAATATTCGTTTTCTTTTTCTATCGATATTTAAAATTGTTATTTATCTATGTTTTATCATTATCTATCTATCTATCTATCTATCTATCTATCTATCTATCTATCTATCTATCACATTCTGTTCATATCTATCTATCTATCTATCTATCTATCTATCTATCTATCCTTTGTCATTTCTTTCTATCTATCTATCTATATTTTATCATTTCTTTCTATCTGTCTATATTTTATCGTTTCTATCTATCTATCTATCTATCTATCTATCTATATATATATATATATATATATATATATATATATATATATTATCATTTCTTTCTTTGTATCTTGTAACTTACCGGGTTTTAAAGACACAGCTAAAATCACGATTCCATGGTTACAGAATATTCTACTTAAATTGAACAAGGGATGTCTAGATTT